CTTTTTTGCTCTCATCGCCTTGACAACATCGCTGACGTGAGAAGTGAAACGCAGTACATCGTTGGCGATAAACTGCTGTATTGTGACATCAATCGGGTAAATTTCTATGGTTCACTTCACATGAAATTTCCTGTAACTGGCTTTGGTACTGTGATGAACGGTGTACTCTGCGTATTATTGCTTCTGCCCAGAATGATATTCCTTTTATTACCAACTTCTTTTGTTCTAATATGACATTTTTGAATGTTTTCTGAGTCAATTTCATGAGTTTTACTTCCACAGCTGCAAAAAAGAATAAATGCGTCTTTTTTTCTCACCCTTCTCCGCTGCAATGCTTCATCTCTTAACACCAGTACTTTGCTGTGGTTCGAAAATATTCTATCGTTATTTTCAGCTCTCGCACGTATTAATGTTAGAAATTACTGCCTTAATAGCGGTATTGTTGCAGGCAGGTCCAGCAAATCCATTTAAATCGACAAATCAGACCGCACTCAAAAATATGCTGACTGGATTCGTCGAGCCAGAACACGTCAACCACTTCCAATTCGAGCAGCAAATCCGATCATTCGATACACTGGGATATGCGCGCGACCCATCGGCAACTCAGTCGAATCGGTTCATTGGCGACACAAAAAAGGTCCATATATTTTACACATCACTAACTGGGCCTGAACTTAGGCCTTCGACTTGCAGAATCTGCTTAAGATTGCTCAAATTAACTCGTAGCTTTATCAGCAATATTCAATAACTAAAAACCTCTTCTTGATTCGTTACCTCGGAGAGATAGAGGCATCCAAAATAGCGTAAATAGACAGCAGCAAATGCTACTTAAGTTACCCCTTCCGAAATTTGCTTAGAGACATACCTGAGAGCGGTTTCGCCTCGTTGACATCTGTCGGCGTTAATTTGCTACTGAAACTAACAAAACAGTTGCAGTGTGGATGGTCATCTCACTGGAGAATTCGAGACTTTGCTTTTATTACGAGAGGGGTGCTTGGCTGAATTTTTAGAGGAAAAATTTCTTTCATGGGACGCTATTCTCGTAGTTTTCATGGAGATTCTGTTAACACTCTTCTACGGATGTATAAATTATAATGAAATGGATGCTTCTCTGCACTCTAAAGTTCTTCCATTATATGCGGCTACTGATAGCTGACTAGCACGCGTAGGAATAAAAAATCATGAGCATTTCAGGCTGAGGAAACACAGGGTGCAAGCCTGTTTGAGGGACAGAAAACAGGCGGAGAAAAGAGAAAGAGGAAACGAAACATGGATCCCAGTGATGTCGATGGATATACCGGTACTGTTCTTCCTGCAATTCTGAACAAAGTCTTCTTGTCCTTTAACATTGGCATTTATTATTATTTTTACTTGCATTGGTTCTGTTCAGGACCTTGGGCACGTTTTGAGGACGAGGTGGAAGTGTCTCGGCCGGATCCTGAATTAGCGAAGGAACTCGAAGAGATCGTGAAAAAACGCCAGAAGAATAGTCGAGCTGGCCGCAAAGCGGCGGCACAACTGCAGGATGTCATCGCGGACGAATCTTCAACGCTACACCGTTTGTTTCTTCTCATTAAAGGAAAATGCGAATCAGTATGGTTTGTTAGATGAACGCTGAGCTAGATTAATCCAAATGCTATCGGTTTCCTGAAATTTTAAATAATTGCGTATAATTTCCGAGGTTTTTGAGTATTTTAGTTTTATTGCAAAATTTATTTTTTCTCTTTGATGTCCCAAATAGACAGGATTTTTATTGCTGCGTTCCTTTTCATCACAAGAGTTTCGATTCTGCTCTGTTCTTATCCTCGTCTCATCCACGTAAAACGACATAAATTTTTCCAAATGGATATTTTTAGGTGAATCCTTCTGTTTCGTATACGAATCCCCAAGCATCCCTTTAAAAATCAGTTCTGCGTGTTAGTTTACGAAATATGTTAGATGCATCGTTATAGTGAAAGAAGCGGAAGATTACATGGGACGATCGTTCATGCACGCGCCGCAGTATATTGGCGTGAACTTACGTGAAGACCACGTACCAGAGCGGTGTTTCATACCGAAGAAACACATGCACTCTTATCGTGGACACAATAAGGGCATAAACTGTCTACGATGGTTCCCAAGAAGCGCGCATTTGTTCCTCAGTGCTGCGATGGATAACAAGGTCTGATGTTTTTCAGTATTTTTCTTTTTGTTTCGTCGTAGTGCATTTTTTCGCCAGTGTTCATGATTGTTGTGACCAAAAATGCACCATCTATTTGTCAGCTGAGACTGTTTTGGCATCCGTTTCTTCTTTTTTTCTTCTGTCGCTTCTCTGAATTTTCATAGAAAGAATTCCTTCATTTGATAAATACAACAACGAGTTCTCATTGGATGAAGAAACGGCAATATTTTTAGATCAAATTATGGGAAGTTTATGGGAAGCGAAATGTGGTGAGGACTTATGCCGGTCATAAAATGTCCGTTAAAGATGTTTGCTTCAACAATGATGGCACGGAATTCTTGTCGGCATCTTTCGACAGATACATAAAGTTATGGGATACCGAAACAGGTGCGTATTCTGTTTCATCGAACCAAAATTATTATTTCATTTTACTGATATGATGCGATTGTAAGTATGTGAATGTCTCTGTTCTTGTTCCGGTAATTTAGCGCTGTAGCAAAAAAGGTTGGGAAGTGAAATGGTTATTTTGTACACCCAAACTAGCCCAGTGGGCGATAAATATGAAATCTGTAATTCTACGTCTTCAATTTGGGTTCTAGTTGATTTGGGCTGATGTATTTATTAACGAAGCGGTAGAAAAAATTAATTTTTGTCGTAGCACTAAAAACGTACAGAAAATGGGCATCTGTTTTTTGGTCTCAGGAGTTAAGGTTTATAATTTTTAAGTAGGCAAATTCGTGGAAAAGCAGCGGCAGAGGACGTGGTATTAGCTGTATCTTTATATCCCAATGCATGATATCTGTTTTGTTCCATTTGCGTCCTAATCCACCCATTACGCCACCAAAACCGCGCAAAATAGCATGACTGCATCTTTCACCTTAGAGGCTTCTTAGTTTCTGTTGTAGTATTTCGGGGACAGCAAGTGCATGACTTTTGTGAACTGCTGCACAAACTTACATAGTTTCTTACATGTATAACAGCTGAAATGATGCGAAGTATGTTGCTAAACTCACAGTTTGTTTTTCGTTAATTTCGAAGTGGTAATACATTTCAGGACAAGTCAAGCAGCGTTTTCACACAGGGC